TAGAATAGCAAAATCTGATCTTATCTAAAATTATTACTAAAATTAAATAGCAAGATATAGTACTGGATGCTTCAATAAAAACAGTTTGTTAAAAAAACTAATACCAAAATAATAACACATCAATGGATAACTCAAAACAAAATAGATAAAAAGTGGAATTATCAAATCTATGACCAATACAAGCATATATAGGACCTAGTTTAGGAACAAATAAATAATGGGTACATATGGAATACTTTTTTCAAAGAATTACAAAGAAAAAGCTTTCTTGTTAAAATGATCAGTAATAAGCTATTCATGTTAACAAAGCTAGCCATAAGAAAACCAAACTTATACAAGCAAGTGAAATGTCTTACATATGGATAGAAAAAAGAGATAATAGAATACTTGTTAGAATATCTAGCATACAAAACTCAATAGCAAAAAATCTGGCAAAAAAGTATAAAAGATATGATGCAAGACTTTAACAAATTTCTAGCAAATAGGAAAAAAGAGTTAGAGAAAAAAAGATAAGTTAACAGTTGATGACAAAATGGAAAGAGAAAAAATGAATAAGAAAATAGCTCAACTGATGAAAAGGATCTTAAACATTGATTAATATATACTTAGCTTCTGTAGGAAACTAATTGAAAAAGATCTAATGAGTGAGATAATAAACTTAAAGTACTATAAAAAGAGAATCGATAAAGAAGCAAGAAAGTAGATAATGGAAATATAGAAAAAAATACATAACTACTTCAGAAAGAAAATTTGCAACATCAGATGTGAAAAGGTAATAGAGTGAAATAGATATTGGGAATCAACAAAAGTAATAAGATTAAAAGATCGACATATCTACAGAGCCTAAAAAGCAGAATCAAGATATTAAGAAATTGATCAGATCAAGCACTATTAAGAAAAAAAAAGTTAGAAAACACAATGCTTAAACAGGTCCTGTAAGATGGGGTAAAGTATAGAATAAAATGATTAAGTTTTAATTTTTGGCAGAACTCGAAAGAATGATCTACAGTAGTAATCTGCAAGCAATAATATTAAAAGTTAGAAAAATGTTTACCTGAACTTCTAATGAAGCAATAAATTACTTCTGAAGTTGTACTTAGAAAGATAAAACAATCAAAATGAGTTAGTTAAAGAATTAGCTTTAGTATTGTATACTATATATAGTATATAGCTTATAAATATTTGATAAAACATATATAACTAGCTTGACAAAAAAAAAAAAAAATTAAAAAAATATTATATATATTTCTCAAAAAGAAAACCAGATAACTAATGTATTGATTAAGTATATTATATATAAAATAGTTTAATTACTTATTAAAATAGATAATATATACAGTAGACCTATAGGTCAATAGTACAATATTAGTGTTTTCAAGTTATCATGTACTGTGCAATAGATCAATTGTGGGATAAATACAAGTTGCAAGTTGTTTATCTGTTTATTTATTAATTTCAGTAACATTTTCAAATTCAATACCACTGCGAGGTAGTATTATCTAACCCTAAATAATACAAGAAGATCCTATCTGTTTTATGATAATAATCTGGTTACCTCTAGTCAAGACCTTATTTGATCATAAGATAATAAGATACTTTAGCTAGTTTTAGTACTAAAGTCATTTCGTTACAAGACAGATTCATTAAACTTCTATAAATAGATTAAAGATCTACATGCCATAAAAACAAGATAGCTAATAAAACCTAAGTACATTAGTTAAAAAAAAGTTTTTATCAAAATCGATATTCATTCAAAACTCTATATAATCACTTATAGACAAGTTATGATAAGTCACGTAAAAGAAATTACTAGTGGAATGAGATAATATTTAAGACTCTATATAGATATTCCATAGATATACTGTAATAAATATTGTAAAAAGACTATTTGATAGGATAAAATATGAAAGAGATCATGTATTATAAATCCAAGATTTATAGAAATTAGGGTTATGGAAGAGTAATATAAACATAGGTAGTGAAGTAGTAGGGCTTTTTCCAACAATAAGCTATGGGGTACATAAGATATTACAATTGGGTTTATAGATACAATAGTGGAGTAAACATAATTACTATAGTCTTAGTACAAATTGATTATAGAATTGTTCTATAATTACTATTAAAATTTTATCTATAACTGTTTTATTGATTTCAATAAACTGGACTCTATTGATTTTTTTTAAAAAAAATAGATAGTACTAGTTTATTTTTTTTTTGAGTATTTCTAGTTAGGCTTGATTGTCAATTTATTAATCAATTAAAAATATAAGTATATTTTTATTCAAGCAGCATAATACACACTATAGTTAAACTATTATTCTAATTTAACTAATTTATTATAAATATAAGAGCCTCTAAGTTTGATTTTAGAAAAAATATTTCACTCTACAATGTTTTTGGATAAAAACTTTTCTAGTCCATTATATCATTGGCAGCAAATTATCACCACTATATATCTTATCAAGCCACTAAAATATAAGAAACTACAAAAGGATAGGTTAAAAAAAAAGAGAAAGGGGAATATTTACAAATGTCTAAATAAACAACAAGAAAATGAAAAAGTAAAAAATTAAAAAAAAGATTTCCAGCTTTCCTCAAAAACCTACTTCTAAAGACCTCCTCTCAATAAGAAATATCCAATTGAATATTTTTTCTTTTCTTGACTATCTAAGAAATTTATCCATTCTTGATATTAATTTTCTTCTCATATACTATCTAAAAAGACTTATTACCTAGTAGGAGCCTTTATTTTTAGAATACACTTGGTTCCAATTTTTTTTGAGCAATGATTTTTTATTCATCTATAGTAGAAAAGTGACTTATGATGGATCTCAAGTTCTTATGTGACTTAATAGAAACTGAGTTATATTATTTAAATATGATACCTTTCAGTAGCCACACCTAGTTAAAATAATTTTATGGATATATATCTTCTATTATTTAAAAGACTAAATTCCTCAATAATTCTTTTGCCTTGTAATAATAGGAGGGTCTTGAAAAAGATAAAAATCTTCATCAATTGTGATATCCTTCAATAACTTTTGGAAAAATGCATTCTCAATTGTAATTAAAGGGTGAAGCTTAGTATGAACCAGAGACCATTCAATCTTATTGTCTAATTGGAATAAGAGGAAGATCTTGGTTTTGAACATTGTCTAACTGAAATAATATAAGAGAAAAACCTCAGCTTGAACAAATAACAGTTTTTTCACCATCTGAGAACTTTTTGCTTGTATCTTATTGACCTTATAGAATTTGATCTGTAGATTAATTCAATTGAAGAAGTAGGGTAAACATGAGATGCCAATCAATTCTTTCAATTATCAATAATATTATCAGAACATGTAATATAATCAGTAGAAGCTTGTTTATATTCAACTACTAATGTGTTTCATGTCAGTCAATCAGATATCAGGTGACATTGTGCTATCAGAAATTCAGGGTCAAACTGAGATAAGCAAAATTCTTCAAGAAAGTATAAAAAACAATAGATATTTTAAAAAGATATAAGACAATATATAAGAAGGTAGATAATAAACCTTCTCCTACTAACAGAACCTCTATTTCTTGTCACTTCCAACTCTATGAGGTGACATATCACTTGTCAATCCTTTTACTTCCTAGAACCTTCTTGCCTTTAATAGAGGAAATATGTATTTGTGTCTTTTTAAGTCATTAGAGGTTCAAGTTTTTAGTTAAAGGAGTTTATAAACAAGTAAGGGAGGATAGTAGAGATAAGTGAAGACAAGTTTAAAGTTGTTTTAATAAAAGTATAAAGACTTTATTAACAAGGAAGTATAAAACTTCTTGCAAACATCTTTTTGTATGTGATTAGAGGATCAGTGAAAAAAGTTAATATAATAAAAGTACATAGTTTATATTATCCTGTAAATCAAATGTATATAAAGACATATTAATTATAAAAAGTCAATAAAAAACATAGAAGAAAGTTCTCAAAGAAAGAAGAACTGACTGTATTATATAAATAATTCTTAATGAAGATGTGATTATATATTAAAAAAAGTATACGTATAATAATTTTTTTTCGAAAAACGTGATATACCCATCACGTGACAATGACGTCATTAAACTTTTTTTATATAAATATGTACGTGCATATATACGTACGCATATCAGGCTTCTACATAATGGTGGGTCAAAATTTTTTCGGACAAAATTTTATTGATACTATCTGCATAGAATTTATAGTCACACTACAAAATTGTTAATTCTGCAGTTTCGTAATCAATACGATAACGATATTTCCACTTGGAGCCCTCAGGGACGGATTCATCAAATAGAATATGCCTTGGAGGCCGTGAAACAAGGATCAGCTGCGGTTGGTCTTCGGTCTAATAAGCATGCAGTCCTTTTAGCATTAAAGGTAATAAATTTGACATCCGCTCTATGCAATCTACGTTCGGAGAACATATAATTCGCTTATATTCAACAATTTAATATAGAGATCTTCCGGCGAATTGGCCTCATATCAAAAGAAACTTACTAGAATTGATGATCATCTTGGCGTAGCTATTGCTGGCTTAACATCAGATGCAAGAGTGTTAAGGTAACTTGTCAAATTATTTGAAAGATTGATTTTAACTTACAATATTTTACGATACGCTTTTGAATTAGCAACTTTATGCGTAACGAGGCTATGACGTCCAAAATGATTTTTAATCGCCCTATACCTGTATCTCGTATTGTAGCGGCAATCGGCGATAGTAAGTTTTAACGGATATTTGAATTCGAAAAAAACTTATTTAATTTAAAAATTTCTGTGTATCCGATTTTTAGAGGCCCAAATCAACACGCAGAATTATGGTCGTCGACCGTATGGTGTTGGATTATTGGTCGTTGGATACGATGTATATATTAATTATTCGTCAAAACTTAAAATATTACAATTCCTCAGATTATAATGATACTTATGTTAATAGGAAACTGGGCCACATTTATACGAATGTGCACCTTCGGGGAATTTTTTTGAATATTACGCCATGTCAATCGGTGCACGATCGCAATCGGCGAAAACTTATCTGGAAAAATATTATGAAAGTTTTGCAGAAGGTGCGTTCGTGTTTAACTCTTCACGTATATAACGCGAATTTAAGTTCTTAACTAGTAATAATAAATACAGCATCACTCGATGAGCTTGTTCGACATGGGCTTAATGCTCTACGTGATACTCTGCAACAAGACAAAGAGCTCAACACACTTAATTGTTCTATTGGAATAGTAGGCGTCGATTTTAAATTTAAAATCGTGGAAGGAGAAGAATTAAATCAGTATTTAAATTTGTTGGACAATGTAGAGGATAGTACCCAAGAAGAACAAGGGCAAGCACCTATGGATACCGAAGAGTTGTAATATTGTTTTTTTTGCAAACTCAATTTAAAGATTAAACAAAATTTAGACTATAAGTATATAATTATTGTGAATGGATAAGATTCTACTTTGTTATATTTGTGTTTATCCTATATTCTGAAATTTTTATCAAAAAATTGTACAAACGAGAATATAAATTAACAAGATTTGAAATGTTATATATTAAGCCCAGTATTATGTAATATTTTATTAATTAAACAAAAGTCAATTTAAAATTCATATTATTATAAAAAGCTAATTATATGAATTTGATACTTTTTTTGTTGATATTATAATATTAAAAAATTATTATTTACTAATAAGGAATTAAATTGAATCTTTTTAATGCATTTAATAATTTTAAATATAATAAATAATTATGAAATTTTAATTTAATAAATTTTTAATTTAAAAAATAAATAAATTTCTAATTTAAGAATAATTTAATAATAAATTATTTTATGTTTAAATAAAAATTTAAAAGATAATAAAATAAGTTATTATTATTGCTTAACTGTAAATTAAAAAAATAAAATAAAATAAATTATTATTATTATTATTTTAATTTACAATTATATTATTATAATATATATATATATATATTTTTTAAATCACAACTAGTATTAGATGCAAGCACTTTTATTAAGAATTAACTTAACATCTTAGATAATGAAATCCTGGGCATCACATTAATCATCTCATACAAATTATATATTTTCTATATACATGCAGATTAATAATAACCTATTGCGGTTTTCTCTAGATGGACCCACTAACCACTCTGTGAGTGGGGCAGATCCAACTAGGGACCGGACAGTTAATACACAGTCATCGACGGCGAAATATGCTAAGTTTAATATTGAGCTTTTATAAGTTTTTAATTATATTTACTAAACTAGTCTGTATAGTATGTACCCAATGGGATTTAATTTACCCTCCAATACTTCCAGATATTATTCGCTCAGACCTCAAAAGGGGGCACTTTACCTTCTTTGTCATCACCTGTGGTATCGGATCAGTCTCATTTGACTGATTTTTATTTAAGCGGAGTATCATATTGGGATATCCTGAGCTAGAAGGGTGGGAGTCTTGAAGACTGCCAGGACAGAAGATCTTGTGGGGTGTTTATGGTGGGTTAGACCAGAAGCCTTTCTTCATGCAATCCTTCCGGTAGTACGACTATAGATCTCAGCCCCTGATCGATGGAAGGTCAGAAGTCCCATCTTCATGCAATCTAACCTGATTAAAGCTTATTCCAGATGATTGGATATGACTTTTACAGAATAACTGGTAAACCTGATCAAAAAGGTAATTTTAATTTTTGGTCCTTAAGTGGTATTGAACTACAGACCTTATGATTGTGACCTGGAAGCACTACCACTGTGCTATTGACCCACAGGTCATATTATTATAATATTTTTTATTGATGTATTAAATAAATATATAATATTATATGGATTTGTATATAATAATTAACTTGTCTTTGTATCCTGCTGATCCTCTGACCACATACAAAAAAGATGTTCGCAAGAAGTTTTATACTTCTTTGCTAATAAAGTCTTTATACTCTTATTAAAACAACTTGAAGTTTATCTTCATGTATCTCCTTTATCCTCCCTTATTTGTTTATAAACTCCTTTGAATAAAAACTTAAGTCTCTAGTGGCCTGAAAAGACTTAAGTACACACTTCCTTTACTAAGGGCAAGAAGATTCTAGGAAATAAAAGAACTGACATGTGGAGTGTCACCTTGCAGAGCTAGAAGTGACAAGAAATAGAGGTTTTGTTAATAGAGGAAGGCTTATTATCCACTTTCTCACATACTGTCTTGTACCCTTTTAAAGTGTCTACCGCTTTTCATGGTTGTTCAATTGTGAGAGAAGGTGGACTTGTGTTGTACCTATTTTTGATACTTGGGATAATCTATCTGGTTGAAATAAGGTATGGTTTCTAGTTGAATCATATGTTAATTGGTATGGAGTGAACAGAAGTGTATTATCTGAGCATGATATCTTTTCCCAAATATTGGTTGAAGTGTTAGAATATACTGCCCAGTATGTTTTCCTTCTATCTGGATATATTAGAAAAGCTTCAGTTTGAATATTGTAACTTGTCTAGTCTAGTCTGTGTAGAGATTTTCTCAGAAGATCTTGATTCTCTGTCACCTTTTCTCGAACCTTTTTGTACCAGGAGGGGACCAGTCCTTTACATCTACTGAAGAGGATCTGAATTGCTCGCCATTTCTTGATTGTCATCGTGGTTGTATTGATGATTTGATCTAGGAACATGATCTTATGCTTACGTAGTGATGTAATGGCTTTCTTATATTCTCTGTCATCTTGCAGTATTGATTTGATAGATAAGATACCTCCTTTATGGTCAAAGGTTTTTTTTCATCTCCAGCTTTGAAAGGTAATATTAAGGTCTTTGGCTAAGGCCAATGTTGCAGCTGCCAGGTTTCCTTTGATCAACTT